AAGTGAATCAGCCGTCCACAAAAATTACATTAAAAGATTCCGTTACGTAGATAGATAGGTACACACGAAACTAAAAGTGTGTTAAATACAGTTGAATTAAAAATTAACTCCTATTTTTAAGTATGAGAAAAATTCTCTTTACAAGTTGGTAAAAAATTACATCTAAATATTAGTACGTTATCACGTAACATGTAAACATGGACGCAGGAAGCGACCGGACTGCGTACAGTCATTACGACGTGCATCTAAGTGTACACAAACGGCCGCTCATCTAATGAGCGCTTATTAACCGCAATTATATCGAATTGTCTACCGTCACGTGGACTACAGCTTTTTCCGCGGATAGAGTAAAGGAAATCGTTACCAGTTGTTAGTTTTAAATTTTCCAATTAATGTGGTTCCTTTTCTTCATCAGTATGTCAAAGTCTACTTCTGAACGTAGGCATCCCCTATAGATTGCCTCGTACGGGGGATATATGCCAGTTTTTTTTAAATAAAATAAAATTATATATTTAATACGTGGTAGAGCCACGCTGCAGCTATATATTATGGTTGTAGCACTGGGTCGGCTCGATCGGTGTAGGTCCACGCTCTCACAGAATACCAGCGTAAAATAGTTCAGCTTAATAGCTGCTGTGTTTCGTATGGTGAGTGTGGAGAATGGAAACACTTTTCTTACTGGAAACGAGTTATTTTATTGTTATTATTATTTTTATTTTTTTTATTTATTTTATTTAAATTTTTTTTAAACTTTTAATTATAGAAATTTGTGGCCTTTGATGATAACATATTTTATGTACTAGTAGTATTGGCCTAATGTCGGTTACTTTTATCGATTTCTTTAAGTTCAAGGCTTCGCGTATTTTTCCCACAATTATCACTTACGGTTACAGTCTGTTATCGTCCACTGCTGGACATAAGTTTCCCCCCATTTTTGATAAATCACAAATCCTAGCTAAAGGACATCGATTCCTACCAAGGATAAAACGTGAGGCTATTGAAATTAAATACTACCTGCTTGGATCCCTGTAATTAACAAAATTAAAGCTAAACCCAAGCATACCACTGCAAGACTTCAAGACACAGTAAGTTAGTTCTGCGTATGGGGACCATAAATAATAATTAAAAAGCTGAAGTTACTCCGAGTTAACATTGATATTGAGACGTCAGTCACCTCAGTCCCCCCGTGACCATTGGTGCAGTGTTCGCGTAAATATAGGAAATGATTTAATAAATAAATATGTTTAAAATTAATTTACGGCTCCGTGGCGTAGGGGCTTAGCAATGAGTGGCTGCGCTAGGGGCCGCGGGTTCGAATCCCGCACGGAACAAGTATTTGTATGGCCTACTAGTAATTGTTCCGTGTCTGGAGAAAATTCTAGTGTGGGGGTAACGTTTTAAAAAAAACAATAAAATAAATTAGCCAGGATCCGCGTAGGGAATAAAAGTAATATGTCTTACCTAGTTTGAATAGCATATTCCGCCCTCCCTCGGTCAAACTGTACTGTACTCGTAGTAAGACAAATAATTTTTATTTCTTACCCGAATCTTAAATAATTAATGTTCATCATCCTAATATAAGGAGATTTTTGCGAGAAAAAAAATTCTTAAAAAATTTCAAGCATAGATACATAAAAACATCTCCGACCTAACGGAACGGTGACTTTGACTCGCCGTGAAACCGAACCACTAGCGTTCAAGTTCAATGACGCAGTTTGTTTAGTCGCCCTCGAGTTACATGAAACATAGGTGATGTCTAGTAGAGTATTCACTTTATGCAAGTCACTTGCTCAAGTTATTGTTTTATTTATATTAATTATTTGTTTACACTTAATTAAGTTACCCTTAATTAAGAGAAACCGACAGACGCGTGACCGATGTTTACTCCTGAAAAACTATTATGTTAATATAATACGCAAAGGAAGTAAATGAACCCTTACATTTAGTTGTATAGATTTGATATTATATCTTATTATTCATTTCGTAAAAAGTGCGCTGAGGAGCAGAGAGCGCTTTGAGATGCGCGAGTACGTTGCGCAGAGGAAAACCATAACGGCTTCACTCTTTGTTAACACTTGACATTACTACTCAACTTTTTTTGTACCGTGCTCTATATATGGAGAGAAGTTCAGTGATAAACACACATACAGAAGAATTATATGTATATATTAAGATAAACATTTTGTTGTTCTCAGAATCAGGTAAAACTGTATTGGTGGTTTTATAACCAGCAAATTTGTAATTGGAGAAACGTCCGTGTTGGATAATGTAATATGGATTGGTATTAGAAACATACTTCGGCTTCATCATTTATTTTTTAAATTACAATACTACTGTAAAATAGCAGCTTAATGCTGCTGTGTTTCGTATGGTGAGTGTAGAGAACCGGAGACTATTTTACTGGAATCGAGGCATTCCATCTTAGTCCTCTGGGGTTATTTTCACTTTTAATCGAGCATAAATGTAGATGTATATGAGCCACAGCATCCACTTACCATCAGGTGGATTGTGTGCTCGTATGTCACCCTTATTTTATTAAAACAAAAAAATTAATGTGTTACCTTATGCCAAATGCTACTAAATACAAAGGTATTTTAAAT